CGCCGCCGGAGCCCCCCCGCCGAGCGCCGCGCCGCGCTCCCCCCGCCGCCCCTTGCCAGGTGCCGCCCCAAGCATGTGCTTGGGTGCCTGGTGCCTGGAGCCGGCCCTGCCTGCCCATCAGTTCCCTGAGGGAGTCAAAGTCTGCTTTTCTGAAGTCCAGGGTCCGGATTCTGCTGCTCTCCTTTCTTCTTGGAATGTAAATGTTGTGTAGAAAGTAGGGCTCCTGAGATGAACTCCTTCCTGCTTATTAAGGCCAAAATCCTTTCCTTCTTTCTCTAACAAAACCTGAGGAAATGGGCAATGCTTAGGGATTCTCCAAGAAGAATTGAATTCTGCCCCCAAACCCATATATAGCTAGGAAGGCAGGTACATTACTTCTGTGACTGCTCACTTGCTGTAACAGCATCTACATAGGACAGTTGAACATGGTTGTGTGGGCACTCTATAACTCAGTCTGCCTCCTCCCCTCCACCAGTTCCCGCATCGTCAGACATTAGGTTTCTGCACTGGGGTGGGATCACAATTTGGGCCTTTAAGTAAAATCTTCCTTTCAGGAGAACTGTGGATGCATGAGCAAGTACATTGGATCTCATTTCAAGTCCTCTTTGGATCTGAGTATTGTGGATCTCACCTATGGACAATTTTCCAAGTTTGTGGTCCTCCTCTTCAGTGTGGTTAGATATACATGCAGCTGTATCTGGGGTTAAAGATACAGATAGGTTTCTTGAATCAAGGTAGCTAATTTGGTTGGCAAACATGGGCAAACCAACCTTTTCCTTGTCCTGCACCTGAATTTACACAGAATATCATCTTAACTGGGATTACCACTATATGAAGTACATTTATGACTGTATTATCAGGCTAAGATCATAACAGCTAATTCAGCAGATTATTCCACGGTTGATTATGCCAGATAATGTTTTCCAAACTTTACCACACATAGGCTGCTAGTCAGGTAACTCCACTTCTGGGCCTTTGCAGTATGTTGCTTTCTTGTCAGTGAAGTGAAAAGAAGGTGGCACATGTGATGGATTTTTGTGATATGACAAACAGGCTGTTCCATGCTATGGCATGGAAAAGGTGGTATCTAGGTTACACGGAACAGTCACAAACACGGCTGTTTTCACTTCAGTGATATGCATGCCACGTTTATCAAAAATGTGGCCAGAAACCATCCTGTCAAGGATGGACTTAGAATTAAGTGAGTTTTCTCCCAAAGGTGTTAGCAACATAGCTGATGACCACTGTCCCCCTTTAACTCTTCATGCAGGGCCAGATACTGGGAGGGATTGTGTCACCAAATCAATACATGAACGACACACACACAGTTCTGATGTCTCCCGTATGAAATGGAGTTCAGCTGCCTTTGTAGCACTATCTTGCCTTTCCCAGGACCTCAGAGAGGCTGAGCAGGGACTGCAGGGCTGGGGTGAATGCACATTGTCTTCTCTCCAGTCATACAGAGATTCCAAAGCTTAGGGCTGAATTCCTAATTTTGATGCTTTGCTGCAGAATAAATCCCTAAATTTAAAGAGTCTTTCCTAGGAGGAGGTATTGAACCACATTGCCTGGGACCTGAGGAGCAAACCAGGTGAGGTACAGAGCCTCTGTGAGGATGGCACTTCCCTTCCACAGATTCCCAGTTTCTGGATGGGCTCCAGATCCTAGTCAGTGCAGGAGCAGTCCCCTCCCTGCAGGTAAAATGATTGTGGGGAGCTCCATGAAAGGATCCTAACTGAGTTTTCCTGCCCTGAGTTACTTCCTGTGGGTTTTACCACAGGAGGTGGAGACTTAGCCCACTGTCATGTGCTGATTGCCCTCATCTCAGCCAGAGGCTCAAGCCTGTTGGGACAGAAGCAGCCAAAGCAGGGACTGCTGCACTGACAGGCAGGCAGAGGGAAATGGGGTTCAACTGGACCAACTCCCCCATGCAGCCCTTCTGGACTCAGAACTGTGCAGTGGTGACTCCCCCAAATCTAGAGACATTGGGTCCCAGGTGGTGTCTCCCCTGCCCCTGCCATGTGGGCTTGGGAGAAAGCTGCAAAAAGGAGCCAGCCAGAGACTCCATCCAGCAGGGACAGAAGCAGCCAAAGCAGGGGTCTTTTGGAGAACTTTCTACAGTTTTGACAGGACTTCCTTTGCCCTGTGCTGGTTGGCTTTTTGATCTAACCCTCTCCCTTCCCAATCCCTCATAGTCTCTTCTTCTCCCCTTTCCTGCCCACCCCCATCCTTTACATTCAGTGTCCCCTCTTGCTTTCTATTAAGATTATCCTTTCCTAACTAACCCCCCCCCCCAAATTGTGGAACTACCATCACATTGTTCGCTCAGCTTCTGTATTTAGTTTGTAAGCTCTTCAGGGTGGAGACTGACTTTTTGTTCT